GACATAAAACTTACATAATTATAATTATGAATTCCCTTTAGAATCTGCATTAAGCAAGTTCAAATTCATGGGCCTTATATAAAGCCATTATACAGAGAACATTCCTAAATTTTTTCCTTCAAAAAACATAATTTATATGATTTTTACTGAAAAAATGAAAAAGTGTATCATTGAAAGGTTTTAATGTTTTAAACTGGCCTTAGCATCAAATAAACACAAGCATTTCACACAGAGGCCATCCGTACATCTTAACATCAAAAGACAGCCAGTGCAAATACACAGTCTTTGTTTTTGTTTACTCCATGTAGTTCTGAGAGCTGAGATGCATATTTAGATTTTCTCCAAAAAAATAAAAAATAAAAATCCAAAAATACTTTGTGTAAAATGTAATTTTGTGTGTTTTTCCACCAAATCAGTGAGATCATTCATGAATTTGTCAATGAAAGAGTTGTAATTTTCTAAACAATTTAGTAGTTTTTGATCAGGACTGAGATAATAAGGGTAATAAACATTTTTCACATATTTACCGCGGGTGTACTGTGTACTGACAAAGTATTTAAAAAGTTCAGAACTGGAATGTATGTGTAGTGTAGTGATGGCATCTACTGAGAAACTATTTAAAAAGCTATGGTGCTGCAATGTGCTGAAGTATTCAAAGAATTTAGAGTGATCACTGTAAAACATGTCAGTGATTTTAACAGTAAAGTATGTACAATCTACAGTGAAACCTGTTAAATGATTAACAGCTTATTTCTGTACAAAATACAGAATATAACTTTACTAGATCTAACCTTTGTTTTCGAGAAACTAGTCAGAGTATCTAAAATCTCACCACACACCCTTATTCACTAGTCCCTAAATTAGTCAATAAGTTTAGTCCTAGACAATAAGTTTAGTCCTTCATGTACTAGATAAAGTGAATGACCACAAATGACTGAATGATGAACACCTGCTGTTAACAAACACAGTCACTGAAGGAAAGAACAAGAAATAAAACTACAGACACAACCTCACACCAAACCAGCTGAATTAAAACAGATGATTACTTTAACTCCATTAAATACAGTTACAGTTTGACTTCAATTCTCTTATATCTGCAAGGATTTTTGATAATTAACAGAGGTTATATTTTTTATTAAGAATGTTTCATTTGACCTCACCATCATGGAGATCAGAGGCTGCTTTAGTTGAGCTCTCGATCCTTTTACTCTTCAATCTTCATGTTTCTTTGGCTGTCATAACGTTGTTTCTGAAACTCATCAGTTATAGCACGAAAGGAGATGAGAAACTTTGTGTTCTTAATAATTTCAGATATGATTTCTAATATTTTATAAATAAAGGCATAGAAAATAGTTTTATTTGATATT